GGTTGTTTTTTTTTAAGAACAGTTTTAGGTTCACAGCAAAGCTGAACAAAAAGTACAGAGAGTTCCCATATACCTCTGCCCCATACATGCATGCACAGCCTACCCCACTATCAACATCCCACACCAGATGCTGGTACATTTGTTCCAGTGGATAAACCTACAGAAACATGGCATTGTCATCCATAGTCTATAGTGTATATTACAATTCCCTCTTGGTGGTGTATATTCTATGGGTTTTGAAAAATGCATAATGACGTATATCTACCGTTACAGTGTCATACAAAATATTTTCACTACCCTAAAAATCCTCTGTGCTCTGCCTGTTCATCCCTCTCTCCCCCTACCCCCTGGCAACCCTTGAATTTGATACTGTCTGTAGTTTTGTCTTTTCCAGAATGTCACGTAGCTGGAATCATACAGTATGTAGTCTTTTCACATTGGCTTATTTTACTTATTAATATGCAATTAAGGTGCTTCCATGTCTTTTTATGACTTGATAGTTCATTTCTTTTTAGCACTGAATAATATTCCATTGTTTGGATGTACCACTGTTTATCCATTCACCTATGGAAGGACATCTTGGTTGCTTCTAAATTTTGGCAGTTATGGATAAAGCTGTTATATAGATTCATGTGTACGTTTTTGCATGGACATGTTTTCAACTCCTTTGGGTAAATACCAATGACCATGATTGCTACATGATATGGTAAAAGTATGTTTAGTTTTGTAATAAACTGCCACACTGTCTTCCAAGATGGCTGTGCATTCTCATCAGTAGTAAATAGGTGTTTCTGTTGTTCCACATCCTCACCAGCATTTGATATTGTCAGTGTTTTGGATTTTGGCCATTCTAGAAGGTGTAGAGTGGAATTCTCATTGCTGTTTTAATTTGCAGTTTTCTAATGACATATGACGTTGAACATCTTTTTGTGTGCTTATTTGCCAACTGTGTATCTTCTTTGGTGAGGTGTCTGTTCAGGTCTTTTACCTGTTTTTTTTGTTTGTTTTTTTTTTCTCCTTTTTGTCTTTTTTCGTGACTGGCAACGGATCGCAACCCTGAGTGTCACCCCCGTACCGGACCGGGACCGGCTACGGGATTGCAATCCTCGGTGTTGCTCCCGCACCTCGCTCAGCCAGTGAGCGGCCGGTCTGTATGTGGGATCCGAACCCTCGGTGGGAGCGCCGCCGCGCTTCCCAAGCAGCGCACTGTAGCAGTGCGCCACCGGGCCGGCCCATTTTACCTGGTTTTTAATCAGGTTTTTTTCTTTCTTTTTTTATTGTCAAGTTTTAAAAGTTTTTTGAATATTTTGAATAATAGTTTTTTATCAGATATCTCTTCTGCAAATAATTTCTCCCAGTCTTTGGCTTGTCTTCTCTTTTTCTTCAATAGCTACTTCCCCCCTCCTCCTACTGGAAACAAGAGGAGATTTTTCTCAGATCCTCACTGTGAGAATCTGGTAGAGCTTCTGGAGATAAGACTCACAGAAGTTTGGTGGCCCCCTATGACTGACTCACCCTGAATTTTATAACTCCATCTTGTCCACACTGAATCTCTAGTAATTTGTTAATTAATTTGTTAATTTGTTAAACCTAAACTGAATTACAGTTCAGGTTTTTCTACCCTGTTACTAGTTTCCACAGATGTTTCTGTTGGTTTGTTTCTACTCTGGTGAGTTGTGATTCTCTGTTTCTAGTTTATCTGTCCCTTGGTCTGGGATGGGGGGGTGGGGGTTGATAAAATTAGGTGTGATTGAGAAACATTGCTCTTGGGTTTACAATGTACATTTTTTTTTTTTTTTTTTTTTTTTTTTTTTT